AATTCTCCCAATGATGTAGACTGCGAAACAGGAAAAAATCAACAGTCAAAAACCTCAGGCTAAATAAACTACCGCTGGGGATTCCCCAACGTAAGTCGTGCACTGTTTCATATACAGATTGACCGACTTTTTATCTTATCACCTCTCCCATATACTCCTTATCCCTGAGATGGAGTAGGCGTGGCATTTGGACAAGGCACAGAACGGTTTACTCTCCTTGTTCGGTGTTCGATGGAGACAAGACCAGAATTGTGTCAAAATGGAAACATCTCTCCAGAAGCACAACCACCGCCACGCTTGGTTGAACGCAGCCACGCCCACCCCATGTCAGGAATTTGGAGTGTACATTATTGCAGATAACAATGACAAATGACAGTTGCTCTTTTAATAGACTTGATTTGAATTATCATGGATGGAATATTCATCTACTTGTTGTACTTTTTTTAGTACTTTTTTTGCTTTTACAGAGACGTTTGCCTTTGCAAATAAATACAATCAGAACAACTACGATTATAAGTAACAACGCTACAGCTATACAAAGAACTATGAGAATCACATTTGAGTGGCCCTTATCCGCATGTCCATGGCTATCTCCTTGTCCCTTCCTAGAAACAGTACCTTATCAACGAATGCAACGAATGCGTTCAGAGTGAGTTATGACAACTTGTAACAAGGGAGAGCTGTGCAACATACTTGTTCAAATATAACTTCCTGCCATTCATGGGCTGGCCTGCTCTTGCACTTTGGAGAAAGGGTCTTCGAGTATTGTTTCCCATAGTCTTCAGCTGAATTTTTAACTGTGAAAGTTTCCACGAAGGTAATGGAGCAGGCCCCAAAATTAACCCAAAGCTATCATGGCCAACGTCAAGTATCTATATTTATTTTGCTTGAGCCACTCTGAATGTGGATAGCAGCTCGTCCAAGTTGTGCAGCACCGGCTGTAGACAAATGACCCCACGCTGTCGTGCAGGAGGATAGGTACTCTTCTGTCGACTACAGCTGGGTGCAGCACTGGAGTGACGGTGCATTTTGCCTGCTAACTTATTATACTTTTTTCTTCGTATTCGCTTCATCGGAATTCAGGAAGCTAATTCCGCAGACATAACGACCACCTTCTTTTGCATATTCGGCAAGATGATGGTGGGCGAGGCCTCTTTTGATTCCAGCACTGCACAGGTCTTTGCCATTAGTCGTGCACAATCTATTTTCTATCTCGCGTTGCAATAATAACGGGAAATAGGTCGTTCCAGTAGCAAAAGTGGAGTGACGACGAAGCCTCATACCGACAGTTCCGCTGATACTTTTTTCAATCCGTGGGACGTCAAGAAAGCATACTTGCCCCTAGATTCCTCTAATTAAGACTCGTTCACCGTCGTCAATACCAAAGAGATGTGTACGACTCCCTTGCAATCCGCTGAAATTCTCCGCAAAGGAACTTTTGAACCAACGCTTGAGGGTGCATTTAGGTGGACACACTTCCTTGTCCCCAGACTTCATTGACATTACGCGACGTTTCAGCTGCACTTCTGCCGAGCTTCTGCTGAAGTAAATCCAGTAAAGTTGATGGTTGAGCGTCTCCATTGTTAAGATGGAAAAATTTCTCACCGGGGAAGGATGGTTGGTCGAAGTGGCCATTTGAAATGTATACCGGCTGATGCGTCTTTGGACACTGATTTCAAATCTGTCCTCCAAATCTGCTAAACGATTCTCCGAGCAGAATTACGGAAGCTTGTTGAGCAGACCACTGCTTGAGACCACCAATGCTCAGCAAGTATCTAAATGATGGGTGAGCTTATTGCACACGTGCCTCAATGGCGTAGTGGAGAAGCGACCGGCCTCATGTGTGCAAGGTCAAGGGTTCGGATCCCTTCCTATGTCGTTTTGCATTTTCTCAAAAATGCTCCCTGCACATCCTAAAAGCACTTTTGCGGGGTTAGGAGACCTGATCTTACCAAAAATGTTTGTTTCTGAAGGAATGGAGCCATTCTGGAACACTCCTGAAGGATACCCTTGATTGTTGGTTTCGGCGGCATTATTCGTTGCGTTGTGTTGTGTCGCCAAACTGATTCCAAATGGCATGGAAGCCAAAGATGGATGTCGTGGTTGTGATCAGGACCAGCAAGGACTGAAATTCAGCGGAAAAGCTCCATTGCTCACAGAGATTTTGATCGGCGATAGTGCCAGCGACCTTAAGGAATTTGATGCCCATGGTTACCCCACTGTTCAAAATCTCAAATTTGGTTGAAAACTTGTCTAGGGCTAATTTGAGCCCCAGAACACGAATATCACACTCGTTCGGCGTAAAAACGCTTGCCAAGGACGTTGCAGGTTCCTGCACACCCTGCCCCTCCAGAATGCGAACAAGATATTTTCACGAAAAATGACTGCAGTGTTGATTTCCAGGGCACCAGAGCACCTCTAATTTCAGATTTCAGCGAATTTGGGCGTTTTGGTGTACCTCATATACATGCTGGAAATGGGTGTGACCTGGTCAAAAATCCTGCATAACTTTGTCCAGGAAATCGTTTAGCAGATATGGAGGGCAGATTTGTAATCAGCGTCCAAGGGCCCATCGGGCAGTATACATCTCATTTCGAATGGCCACTTCGACCAACCATCCTTTCCTGGTCAGCATATACCACGGCAAATATCTTTGTAATTTTCATTCCTGAAATGATTTTTGAAAACATCGGTATGCGGAATCTGGTTTGACTTTCGAACAATATAAAAGGGCGGGCAATAAATGTAAACAATTCCTGGAGCGCAAGAGGGTGCCAATAATATTTCCATTTGTCCCTGCAAACGCAATAGCTCCACAGTAGATTCCTTGTGTACGCGGACACGATACACTTCGTACAATTTTACAGAACCTGGATAACGAATGTTGACCAACCGGTTCATGAGCATCCAAGTGATGGTTTGACGTCCCATAGAGCCTAGTAGGCAATCTCTGGTCCAGTGATCACTATCGCATTTCATGACGGTCCCAAATCGCTTGCTTACCGAAGCTTCACGAATGCAGTGTCGTCCCTGATCGTCGATACCCGAGTGCTAACTCTGCACTCCTCCAACTAATTGCGTGTTGCGGAAAACGCCAAGCAACGCTCTTTCGGTGGCACTTTTCTAGTAATCCGACCACAATCTTATTCAGCTTGTAGTCCCTGTTTTCGGTCCCACTGAAGTCAGATTTGGTGCTTTCCCGTGCTTGATCCTTGTTTGATCTACGTTTTCAACAAAAATTCCACAGATCAAAATCAGAAAGATTTTGGGGAACTCGCTTCACCTGTTCTTCTGAAATCTGCGTTGGCTCCGTAAGCACAAACCACACAACGTCTTCCGTGCACGGCGGTGTTGTTAGTGACCCTGGAAAAATCACTCTTAACTCGTTTACTTAAGCTTCTCCGAAGATGCCGTGGAATGGAATACAATATCTAAACAACAGAATAGCTAAACGATTCTTTTTAACGCCGCCAAAAGTCGTATCGCTAGACTCAGGGAGGGCATGTCAGAGAGACTGAAGCAGAGCCAGCCCAAAATGTTGCATCGAGGATCTCATTGCAATTCCGGGACACACGAGAGTGACGTAATCGCGGTGAACGGGGTATGGGCCTGGGTGGATGAGGCCATAATCGGGAATTTGTAATTCACCATGTTCAGTTACTTGTTTATTTGCCTACTATTCACTGTATAAATTAGGCAGATGCATATTTCCACTTTAATTCATCCTCTACACGGCCGATGTCGACATGCCACATTCACTACGCAAAAATAAACAACTGTTCGCTAAGGGGTAACAATCCGCGGCGAAAAGCACCCAAACACACACCCTCTATGCCAAACTCAGTTTTCTGAGCGTAACTTCGTCAGTGGAATAGAAATGTCAGTAGTTGGGTAGCTCAACAACGGCACACTGTCAGATCAGATATTCAATGCTCAATTGCATCTAGCCGCGTTTCATGTACAACGCACCCGGAACCTTCTCCGTCAGAAATTTTCTTTGTCCTTCCTTCTTTAGACTTTGGCAGCAGAACATGATTCAGAATTGAATTGAGCAGCATACGTCCTTTGTATGACGACATATTCGATAAACCATTATTCTCACTACTCAGGTTTCTTTTCACATTCTCGAGTTTCCTTTCTTTGGCTATGTTGGCTAAATTTTACGATACGTAGATAAAAGTAGAGGCTTCCAATTGATATAGAAGCACACGGGCCTTAGCTATTTGCTTTCTGCCACATTATGTCCCCAATTGTGTGAATGAGATGACCTAATATCCTCGTGTGCTTTCAAATTCATAGCTCAGGACACAATATCTTTATGTGCTTCACGAAATTCATAGCTCGCGTAGTAGTACACTCCTTCTCCATGAGAAGGAGCTATTCGCTCGTAGCAGGAAGCAGTAGTGACATATAGCATGTGATAAGGTATGTTGGAGAGCGAGCGCTATCATGTGCATTGGCCCAAAGCAACAACAATAGCACATTGAGCCTACCGAGGGACATTGGATGTAAGGCGGGTATATCGATGATGGTCACACATTCATCAGTTGTTATCACTGTTAACAATTGATAAATACTTGCGCCACTGCCCGGTAAAAGCCGTCACACTTCTCACAGCAGCAAGAACAGTAGAAAACATATGTGTGATAACGTTATACTCACTTGGAGCGTTGGCGAGAGGAGCGAATAAACGCGTTTCCGACAGCCTTGCTCCACCAGTGATGTAATGATCGCTTAGTGACCGATTTGAAAAGAAAGAAACCTATGGTGGAAACGCCAAGGATAGGCCTACTCCACTCCTCTTGAAATCGCCCCGACTGATTGTGACGTTATCAAGTGTAGCTCAGATATCGGTATCATGTTTAGCATCGTCCTTGCACTGGTACACTCATGGCAAACTTGCGCGAAAAAAACCAATTATGGACCAGAGAAAGTTCTCTAGTAATATTCTGTCCAGATATCTTGCTTTATAGTATGTGTAGATCGACAAGCATCGTGTCACGTACATGAGCGCG